TGTATTTGGAAAAGATCTGCTGATTGGTTTGGTTGGCTTCTGAGTCAGTAGTGGATCTTGGCTGAATTTAGGTGATAAGGCTGTCTTCATACATGCATCGACTCCTAAGTTTTATGATGCACATTGCAATGAGTGTAGCTCGGCATCGATGAATCGACATCAGAAGCATACAGGAATGACACTCCTAGCATTAGTTGAACAAACAAAGTCCGTTTCGGATTTCGCTATTATCGTCACAACAACTGCCGTAACAAAACGAGTCGGATCGAGAATTTTCCCGACATTTTTGAATAACTGTTGACTCATAAAAGATGCCGCAATGAAATTTGTCACAAATATATATATACAGGGTGTTTCGTAACTTGTGGGACCCACTTCGGGAGCTGATTGTACGCCTAAAAGTAATGAAAAAAAGTCATATAAATATATGCCCTATCTGTCTTCGTTTATGAGATATAATGAATTTTATAAACAGAGCAAACTCTAGTAAGCTAATTTTACCAGGGATTGTATATTCAATTTTCATAATAATCATAATTGGGATGAAGAAAATCCACATGTTATTGTGCATTCAAGACATTAACACCAGCTTAGTTTAAACGTATGGGTAGGAATAATTGATAAATTTTTAATTGGACCTTTTTTTCTTGATGGGCATCTAACAGACACAAAGTACGTTGATTTTCTGAGCACGCGTTTACACGAAATATTAGAGGAAGCTCCAGTCGATATTAGACTTCGTATGCGGTTTATGCATGATGGAGCTCTGCCGCATTTTAGCCGAGTGGCTAGGCAATTTTTAAATCAACACTTTGCAAATAAATGGATTGGTCGTGGAGGCCCTATTGCATGGCCTGCTCGTTTTCCGGATTTGAATCCATTAGATTTTCACTTGTGAGGACATTTAAAATCTATTGTATACGCAACATTGATTGAACATGCTGAAATACTACGAAATAGAATAGAGCAAGGCTTCCGACAAAATCGAGGAACACCAGGAATAATAGAGAAAGTAACCAGATTAATGACAAGACGCGTGCAGGCTTGTCTTCAAATTCAAGGTGGTCATTTCGAGCATCTTTTGTAAAAGTAATAAAAACAGAAAATTCATTATAAACGAAGACAGATGGGACATATATTTATATGACTCTTTTTCATTATTTTTAGGCGTGCAATCAGCTTTCGAAGTGAGTCCCACAAGAAACATCCTGTATATATAAATCATTCTCTAAAAAAATTTGAAACATTTCAAGAAACATTAATCTTTCTCCGACATTGTCCCAATCTTTTCCTAATATTTTCTTATTCACAATAGCACGTAGAAATAGTTTTATCGTACAAAAGAAAATCACAAAGATTTATTAAAAAAATATTTCTGTGAGCTTCTTAAACAATGTCCTATTACTAAATTTGCATTTATTTATTACGATTATTGTATGTTTCGCGGAAACGTCCGTCGTTTTATTATTTCGCGGTGAATTTTCCCGTTATTTCGTATTCATGAAATCTGTAGGATTTTATATGCATCACTATATATGATAGTTCATTGAAAGAAGAAAACCAGGAAAATTTTAAATAAAACAGAAAATATCACACAATACCCGAGAATAATACGCAGTTTTTTTGTCGCGACTAATTAAATTATAATATCCACGCAACCACAGAACGAATACGTACGCGAAAATGCATGCGTGTACACATGTTCGATGACATCGTTATCTGTTTACTAAATGGCAAAAGATAGCGAAAGTGATGTAATTAGACGGCTGTCAGAATTGCAACCCAATACATATTATCTATAATGCGCCTTCTCGCACAAAAACTACCGCTGCACCATAATCGCGCGAGCGATGTTTCAGCGTACGTTCATCGATAGCAACGCGAACGCGACGCAGTAGATTAACACGACCGCCATCGAACTGCGTCTTCAGTCACCGCGAGCACACTGGCGCGAGAGCATCTGGAGTTGCTGCTAAACGTCCTCTTTATTAACGTTTTCGGTGATTGTTTTCTACTATTATCCAGTCTCTCGCTGATACTTTCTGATAGTGAACAAGATCGTTGCGTATAGCCTACTGCTTGTAGCTGGTAAATACCTGCTACAAGTGCGAAATGATGAATCTGGAAATGGATTGGTGGCCGATAATCGCGGCTGTGTTGGCCGTGCTAGCAGTGGTCTACTACCGAGTCACTCGTAACTTCGACTTTTTCAAGAAACGTGGGATTCCATACGCTAAACCGATGCCGTTTTTGAGAAGCATGTGGGAAGTGGTCTTTCAACGACAGCCGTTTGCCGAGGGCGTAGAAAAAATGTACAATTTGGATCCCGAGTCAAAGTATATCGGTTTTTTCGAGTTCGAAACGCCTATACTTTTGATTCGAGATCTCGACCTGATCAAATCCATCACCGTGAAGAATTTCGACCACTTTACAAACCACAAAATGATTTTCGAGCCGGACTTAGAACCACTTTTCTCGAAAAATCTTTTTTCCCTGTGCGATGAAAGGTGGAGAGAAGTACGGAACATGTTGACACCGGCCTTCACGTCCAGCAAATTGAAGTCCATGTTCGTATTGATGCACGAATGTGCCAAAGAGTACGGCGACTATTTCGCTTCTTTGCCCACCGACCAGTCGATCTTGGAGTTGAAAGACGCGTTCACAAAGTATACCAATGACGTGATCGCTACTTGTGCGTTCGGCATTGACGTCAACTCGATGAAGAATCCGAAAAACGCGTTCTACGTTTACGGCACAGAAGCAAACAATTTTGGGGGAAGTTCGCAATCCCTCAGGTTTTTCGCGGTGATACGGTTACCATGGTTATGTCGATTGTTCGGTATCAGGATAATTAAACAGAAGATCGTCGACTTTTTCAAGGAATTGGTAGTCAGCACGATGAAGGCGCGGGACGAGAACGGTATCGTACGTCCAGACATGCTTCAGCTGATAATGGAGACCAGAGGGAAATTGGGGGCCAGGCAAAGAGTTGTCCATCGATGACATAGTAGCCCAGGCGTTCGTTTTCTTCTTCGGTGGATTCGAGAGCACCGCCACTCTCATGTGCTTCGCCGCTTACGAAGTCGGCATCGACGACCAGGTACAGAAAAGGTTGCAAGAAGAGATCGACCAGCTTTTGGAGGATTGTAAAGGCCAGGTCACATACGAAGCTATAAACGGCATGAAGTACCTGGAGGCTGTCATCCTCGAGAGTCTTCGGATGTACCCAGCGGTTGTAGGCAGCGACAGAGTCTGCGTGAAACCGTTCGAATTGCCGCCACGCGTGCCGGGAGCAAAGCCGTACGTCGTGCAACAAAACGACAACGTGTGGATACCGATCTGTGGCATTCAACACGATCCGCAATACTACCCGGAGCCGAAGAAATTCAATCCCGACAGATTCTACGACGATCCGAAACATATATTCAACTCTTCCTCGTTCCTCTCGTTTGGACTGGGCCCCAGGATGTGCATCGGCAACAAGTTCGGTCTATTAGAAACAAAAGTGTTGCTTTTTTACATTTTCGCCAAGTGCGACCTCGCACCGTGCGCCAAATCCTCCATACCGTTGAAACTGGACAGGAAAGGATTTGCTATGACGTCGGAGAACGGATTCTGGCTGAAAATTCAACCGAGAAAATTCAACGCAAAGAAAGCGGAGCCGTAGAGGATTTTGTCATCCTAGAGACGACCATGTATTTCAAGAAGTTTCTCGGCAAACATCTCGATAATTAAGTTACGTTGCAGCGTACACGATACTTGCAATATCCGTTGCTGCAAGTTTCTTCTTCGTCCATGTTTCGTAGAAGCAACGTTGAAAGTGAGTACGTTTTAGATTTTTTTTAGAATTAGTTATAATATGTAATAATGGGATGTAATATAATGTAATACGTAATATGTGATTGCAATATACATTAGACGTGATATAAAGATTTTCTACCGTAATATGTACGAATTACGCGTATGTGTAAAAACACTTTTCTGCTGAACTCATTTCAAACATTTATTCAATTTCTTCATTTTCTACAAAATTTCACAAATTATAAATAATTATATGCATTTGTCGATGAATTCACGCATTGACATTTTCAAGAACAGGATGGCATTTACCTTTTCCTTCTTTTTTTTTTTTTTTACTGACCTGTGTCTTTTGCGGCAGAAAAATTGATGACTCTTCACAACTTTAAACGATATTAACGAAGAATTTTCTGTCAATTCCTACGATCTGGTCTCACAAAATTATCGGAAATAGTCGTTAATTTTCTAGTCAACAAGAAAAATATTTTCACACAGCCTTTTATAGATTTCTTTTTTTTACACGATTTTACGAAGAATTAATATATCTTATTTACGAGAAATATGTATATTCGTTAGGTGTAGATTTGTCACAATTAAAATGACTATTCGAAATAAATATACTTATTTTGTAGTAAATTGGTAAAAATAATCATACGATCATAATCTCCATTTAATTATCTTATCTAGTCGTTATCGATTCCAGAGAAAGATAACATCTTGCATTTCACAAATTTTGAAGCAAACAACGATAACATCCAACTGCTTTTTAACATTGAGATATCTTTGCTGATACAGAGAAGAGATATGTATAATATATGCATGGTACGAATATACGATTGTTTTTCTTGAATATTAACGACAAGAATACTCTTTTCTTGACCGGCTTTTTATTTATCCGTAATATCTTTTCTGGTGATTTTTCTGATTTGTTGTATTATTCGGGCACTAATTTGTACGCATACGTCCTTCCAGCGAATAAATGGACGAATCTGTAGAAAAGCTTTCATGTCAATGATTTCTAAAGATTATATTGTAGAAATCAACATTTTGAACAGCCTTTTCTTCCTACTAGGTTTCGAAAAATTCGTAAAGATTTCTGTTGACGTCACTACGGTGAATTTTGCCTACGATGAATTGTACATTCGTAGCAAAGTATACGTTAATGTCCAGCAGCCAGATAAATACTATACGGGATGTCCATGAAGTCTCTATACAATTTCAAAAATTTATTAATATAAGGCAAATGAAAAGACAAATATGTGTAAATTATGTGTAAATTATTATAAATTACAGAATGAGACGTATATATTATATATTTAAGTTTCTTTTGCCTCATTTAATACACTTCTGTATGGGCACTATTAGTTACACAAAGCACATCAAGATGGTGCTCAATTTCTTACTATGTTCGTTGTAGCATATCCTCATCAATGGTGGCAATGGCATCAGTGATCCTCTGCTTTAGATTAGTGATGTCCCGTACCTTTGTTCGATACACGATATCTTTAACATAACTTCAGAGAAAGAAGACGAAGGGAGTGATATCTGGTGAACGAAGTGGCCAGGGAATTGGACCACCCCTTCCAATCCACCGGTCTAGAAATGTTTCATTTAGGAACCCACGAACATGCAGTCCCCAATGTGTTGGTGCACCGTCTTCTTGGAAAATAATGGTTGGTTGAAGGTCATGTAGTTGTGGTGCCACGTATTCAGTCAAAAGGTCAAGGTAAACATTTGCAGTAATTGATGTTTCGTCGAATAAAAATGGACCGATGATTCGACTGCACATGATCATATACCACACATTCACCTTTGGGCTACCTCGTTGAAATTCTCTAGTCACACGGGGGTTTTCTGATCCCCAGATTCTCACATTGTGTCTCGTATATCGAAGGTGCGGGACATCACTAACATAAAACAGAGGATCACTGATCCCATTGCCACCATTGATGAAGATATGTTACAACGAACATGGCAAGAAATCGAGTACCGTCTTGGTGTGCTTCGTGCAATTAATGGTGCCCATATAGAGGTACATCAAATGAGGCAAAAAAAAAACTTAAATATATACGTCTTATTTTTTAACCATTTCCACTTATTTGTTTTTTCATTTGCCTTTGTAATAAATTTTTGAAATTGTATAGAGACTTTACGGACACCCTGTATTACTTATATAGCTTTTATTTATACATGATGTACATTCGTCTAAGACGAACGTATCGGCTGTGCTTGGGAGTGTGTCATAGATCGACACAGCTCGATGCGCTAGTAGCGGCAGCATTTTGCAAATCATTTTGGAAGCTAGGCCTAACATACGTCGGTAACACACGCTTACCAACATGAAATACTTTTTTCAAACATTATTCAAAAGTTATGGAAATCGGAAGGGAGCCGGTTTTTCTACAGATTCACTGACAAACGAACGAAAGAAAGAAAGAGAAAGAAAACAAGAATTGACAGAAAGTTCAAATTTCAAATTCAAATTTCAAGTTTTAAATTGAAATTCTAACTTTTAATTTCAAATTCAAATTTTTGCAATTGTCTTCGTAAATGATGTTTGTAGAAATTAGCACACTCTAAGGGTACGATTATAGTGAAGCGGCGAGGAATGAGGATAACGGCGAGGTGAGCGTCGCGACAAAACAAACAAATGTAATGTAATGGAAGTGTTTATAGTGAAGCGACGAGTAGAGCTGCGAGGAGAGCAACGTACATACACGCGTGCGTGTATATTCAGTGAGAGCGATATATTTAATCATCTATGAAAGATAAAATGGTAGGAGATAACGAAAGTAACATAATGAAACAGCTGCCAGGGTGGTGAGTCACTATCTATAATTCGATAAGATATAGTTTTTTTCGCGCAAAAAATACTGCTGATCATCGCACAGTCCGCGAAAAAAAAATAACATACTCTATAAATTTTGTAAAATTCGTGGACGAACATAGAAATATGTATATTCCTACTTGTACACTTCTTCAGTTATTGTTTATATGTCTAATAACGTGATGACGGCATGTAAACATTGCCTCTTAATTCTTGGAATCGTTGTTGCATTACTTTTCACGAAAAATCAGTCCGACTAAAATAATAGCACATGTCGTATATCTTCACTGCTCAGTTGAATACGGGCAAGTGACTGTCAATCTTCGTTTATAATGTTATATCGTATAGTGTTTGTAAAAAATGAGTCGTGGTAAAAAATACAAACAGTTTTGTTATTATCAAGAGAAAATTTCTTTGTATCGCAGATAGCAAGAGCTATTAATAAAAGTCGGAAAGTTATCATTAATTTATTTAGAAATCCAAAAAATTACGGGAAAAAGAAAACGTCCTGAACGACACGCAGCTCTCACAACACGCGACTATAAGAAAATGTGACATTATATGCATCAAATGTATTGCTGACTGCAAGGCAGATTGCTGAAGCTTGTGCGACAAAAACGAATATTAGAAACGTGTCCTGCAACAATGTAAACATTTGCAACGAAAGAAATTACAAAGGAAACTTTCTTTAACAGAGGCACATAAAAAGACAAGATTAAGAATTTGCTGAAGAACATGTGAATTAGACCAAAAAATGAAAAAGAGTATTATTTAGTGATGAAAAGAAATTTAACGGTCCTGATAATAGGGAAATTACTATTATCGTGACTTGCGAAAAGATACACAATTTTTGGCGGAGGTATAATGATATGGGCTGGTATTGACTACCATAGAAGAACAGATAATATAAAGTTTATTTGAGGTGAAGTGAATGCGAAAAACTATTTAGAACTAATTAATGAACAAATTGAAAGATGTGCTACAAGGGTATCCGGAAATGGGTTCATATTTCAAAAAGATAATGCGGCGGTTCATACAGCAAAAGTGGTAAAGTCATATTTTGAAGCCAATAATATTTCATTTTCGGAATGGCTAGCCCGTTCTCCAAACATGAACATAATAGTAAACCTATGGGGAGATTTTGCAAGAGCCGTTTATGCAAAGAGAAGACAGTTCAGTAACATAAATAAATTAAAAGAACGTGTTTCAGTGAAATGGAAAAAAAAATAAAAAACGAATTAAAAAGTTTTATAAATCTCTTCCAAGGCGAATGATTGCAATTATAAAAAAAGTCTGGAGATTCTACAAAATATTAAATATTAATTTTTCTTGGTAAATATGAACAGAAACTGATTTATAAAAATTGTGTGCTATAAATTTGTCGCACCGATTTTTCACGATTCTTTTGTTTTTACAGATGAAATAAGGACTGTGTGATGATTCTTGTTAGATATGTTGCAGAAATTGTCATACAATGTCTATGTACTTGTAAAATTAGATTTTTGTAATTTATTAAATAATAGATTAAAACAGAACAAAAACACTGGGTGTGCTATTTTTTTGTCGCGGCCTATACGTTCATCGGTGGCAGCACGAACGCGGCGCTTAACACGACCGCCATCGAATTACGTCCTCAGTCATCGCAAACATATTCACGCGAGAGCATGAAACCGCAGCTGTTAAACGTTCTCTTTATCAACGGATCGAACGGTAACGGTTTCCAGGAATTATCCAACCTCTCGAGACTAGTGATCCTTTCTGAAAAGTGAGCGAGATCGTCCGAAAGAAACTAACGCAGACCTAGTTGACAATAAATGGTAAATACCTGTTAAAAGCGTGGAATAACAATGGAAATGGGCTGGTAGCCGATAGTCGTGGCCGTGATGATCGTGCTAGCAGTGGCATACTATCGAGCCACTCGTAACTTCGATTTCTTCGAGAAACGTGGAATTCCGTACGACAAACCGATACCATTTTTAGGAAGCCTGTGGGAATTGTTACTTCAACGACTGTCGTTTGCCGAGGCCATAGAAAAGATGTACAATTTGGATACAGAGTCAAAGTACATCGGTGTGTTTGAGTTCGGTATGCCTCTGCTCATGATTCGAGACCACGACCTGATCAAATCCATCACCGTGAAGAATTTCGACCATTTTCCAAACCATAGAATGGCTTTCGACCCGGACGTGGAGCCTCTCTTCGCGAAGAACCTCTTTTCACTGCGCGACGAAAGGTGGAGGGAAGTACGGAACATGTTGACACCGGCCTTCACGTCCAGCAAGATAAAATCCATGTTCGTGTTGATGCGTAATTGTGCCAAAGAGTATGGCGATTATCTCGCTTCTCTGCCTGCCGATCAGTCGAAAGAGCTCGAATTGAAAGACGCGTTCACCAAGTACACCAGCGACGTGATCGCCACTTGCGCGTTCGGCATTGACGTCAACTCGATGAAGGATCCGAAAAACACGTTCTACGTGTACGGCAGAGAGTCAACCAGCTTTGGAAGATTGCAATCCTTCAGGTTTCTCGCGGTGAGAATGTTTCCATGGTTATGTCGATTGCTCGGTATTAAGGTATTCAATCAGAAGATCGTCGACTTCTTCAAGGAATTGGTAGCCAGCGCGATAAAAGTCCGAGACGAGACCGGTATCGTTCGTCCAGACATGATTCAGCTGATGATGGAGACCAGAGGGCCAGGCAAAGAGTTAACCATCGACGACATGACCTCGCACGTGTTAATCTTCTTCTTCGGTGGATTCGAGAGCACCTCAATTCTCATATGTTTCGCCGCTTACGAGATCGGCATCAACGTACAGGTACAGAAAAGATTGCAAGACGAGATCGACCAGGTTTTGGAGGATTGCAATGGCCAGGTCACGTACGAGGCCATCAACGACATGAAGTACCTGGATGCTGTCATTCTCGAGAGTCTTCGGATGTACCCGCCGACGGTCGTTAGCGACAGAGCCTGCGTGAAATCGTTCGAATTGCCGCCATGCGTGCCGGGAGCAGAGCCGTACATGGTGCAACGAGACGACATCGTGTGGTTACCGATTTATGGCATTCAACACGATCCGCAGTACTACCCGGAGCCGAAGAAATTCAATCCCGACAGATTCTACGACGATCCGAAACAGATGTCCAACTCTCCCTCGTTCCTCTCGTTTGGAATGGGCCCCAGAATGTGCATCGGCAACAGGTTCGCTCTATTAGAAGCGAAAGTTTTGCTCTTCTACGTTTTGGCCAAGTGCGACCTCGCACCATGCGCCAAATCTTCCATACCGTTGAAACTGAACGAGAAAGGATTCGCCATGACGTCGGAGAACGGATTTTGGCTGAAAATCCAGCCGAGAAATGCAAAGAGAGCGGAGCCCGACAATATTGTCATCCCAGGGAAAACCATGTTCATTGAGAATATACCCGACAGACATCTCGACGATTAAGTTACGTACATTTGCAGTGTCCGTTACTGTAGCTTCTTCGTCTGTTTCGAGATACGTCTCTTCGTGGCAACAAGCGTGGAAAACGAGTCTATGATCGATTTGTTTTCAATCATTTTACAATTAGTTGTAATATGCTGTTATAGACTGTGATATATGTAAAAGTTGCAATATACATATAAATTGGAAACGAGCTCACAAAATGTACTTAAAATTACGTGTATATATACACAGATGGTGTCTTCTGCTGGGAACTTGTTGGACATTTATTCAGTTTCTACTATTTAGTTAAAATTCACAAGTTACGAACGATTATACGCGCATTGATGTTTTCAAGGACAAGATGGAATTTATCTTTCTTTCTCTTTTTTTATTGACCTTTGTATGTTCCGTCAAGAAATTTATTAATTTTCACAAACAACGATTGTAAAATGTTAATTTTCACAACTTCAAATGATATTGTCGAAGAATTTTGTCGATTCCTACGATTTGATCTTGCAGAATATACAGAAAATAGCCGTGAATTTTCTAGTCAACAAAAAAAATATTTTTGTATTATAAAATTAGATAATAATCTTCCGTAGATTTTTTTTACACGTTTTTACAAAGATTTAATATATTCTTTGTTACGAGAAATATGTGTATCTGTTAGGTGTTGATTTGTTACAACTAAATAAAATGACTGTTCTTTGCTAAATTGAAAAAAATGATCATACAATCATAATTCCTATTTAATCCTCATATCTAATAGCTATTGTTCTCAGAAAAAGATGAAAATGTCTTGTGTTTTCAAAAATTTTGACGCAAACAACGATAACATCCGCCTACTCCTTCTTAACTTTGAGATATTTTTACTGACAGAGAATAGATATATATATGTGCACAGTATACATGTTTGTTCGATCTTTCTTCATGAATATTAACGACATTTTTCTTGATCGGCTTTTTATTTATCTGTATAATTTCATCCAATGTCACATTCCTACGATCGTCAATGGACTGTTTGCTCGTAATATCGTTCTGCTCGAAGTAATCTGTCATCTATTCCACGGAACCGTCTCGAAGTGCGTGGCCCACATGATCTGTCCGTTACTCTGTGACCACCGCTGAAAGTCAGGTTCTCGTTCACTTCAGTTTTTAGCTCAAGCAAGATGAGATCCATGTTTCGTCTCATGTTCAAAACCGCCGTGAACATGGCGAGATACTTGTCAACTCTGCCGGCAAACGAGAACGTGGTGGAGATGAAGGACACCTTCACGAGATATGCCAACGACATTTTCGCGAGTTGCGCCTTTGAAATCGCTATCGACTCGCTGGCTAATCGGAACAACCGATTCTACAAGTCAGGCAGAGATGTCCTGAACATTCACAGCGTAGGGATTCTCAAGCTCGTCGTGCTAACGTTGTTTCCTAGGTTGGCCGAAAAGTTCGATATAACTTTGTTGAGCTGCAAGACTATGGTAGTGGTTACCATACATAGTTATATATTGAGGAATGAATATACATAATGTTTGTATAGAAGGATGAACGTAGCGAGAGTGTGCATATAATTGTGGTATGGTGTGATCTGAGTGTTTGATATATTTCATGGCAGAAGAAAGAACGAATGAGAGAGATGTATGCGAGAACAATTGAGCGAGCATGGTGACGAGAAACAGTTGTGATCGGGAAGAACCCCAGAAGAAAAGCATGAGACGCGAAGCATGAGAGATGAGAAGCAAGAGTGAATTGATAAGAGAGTGAATCAATGAGAGTTAAACATTATATGTTTCATAATTTATATTAAATCTATCAATAATCAGTGTGTTTGTTATTCGATTCACTAACAAAGACGACAGGTTTCTTCAAAAACATTGTGCCCGAGAGCGAGAGAGAAGAAAGGCATCGTCAGACCGGACTTTATTCAGCTGATGACAGAGAGTAAGAACAGCAGAGATCTGAGCGTCGATGACATCATCGCTCAGGCGCTTGCCTTTTTTTTCGGAGGCTTCGAGGCCATGTCCGATCTGTTGTGCTTCGCCGTCCACGAGGTGGCCACGAATCCGGAGATTTAACGGAGGCTCCACGCGAAGATCCATGCCGCTCTGGCCGATTGCAAACACAGCGAGATCATCTTCGAAAAATTGGACAGCAATCAAGTATCTCGATGCCGTGATCAGCAAGACTTTGTGAATGTATCCAGTCGTACCATTCACCGACCGATGCTCGATACCTTCCAGGTTACTGGCAGTGACCAAATTGTACGTGATGGAGCGAGGCTCTCATCGGTGTGTGGCAATTTCATCGATCCAACGCGATCCGAAGTATTTCGAGGATCCAAGGAACGAAAAATCCAACTGCTTCGAGCCGAATCGATTTTTGGATAAAGAGTGTGATCTGATCAATAGCGAAGCGTATCTCCCATTCGGAATTGTATCGGCAAAAAATTCAAGACTAAAGTTGCACTTGTTGTTCGCTGTCGACTCTAAGACAACCGTGCCTATGGAACTGAAGATCAAGAGGATATTTCAGCAAAAAGATTCTGGTTGCGTGTCGTACCTTGAGCGGTCTGGTCAAATATACACAAATGTACGAGAATAGACGTGTGAAAATAGAATTCGAGCTCGACGTTGTGAATTTCTAAAACGAATCATTGAGAAAAAAAAAGAAACTTTCGCGAAAACGTCCGTCATTTAATTATTTCTCGGTGAATTTTCGCGTTAATCACGTTATTTTTTAAGATTTCGCATGTAACATGTTATATGATAATTCATTGGAAAACGAAAGCCAGGGAAGTTTGTAATAAAGCGCAGGAAAAATCAAACATTACCCAAGAATAATTTTTTTGCCGCGACCATTTCAATTATAATATTCACGCATGTCTGCAACTAGACAACATTTGCCGAATACGCACGCGAAAATGTACGTACACATGTTCAATAACAGCGTATCCACTTATTAAATGATAAGATAAAAGTAGCAAGAGATAGGAAAGGCGACGTAATTAGACGGTTGTCAGAGTGGTAATAGCAATATCTATAACTCGTTTTCTCGCGCAAAAAATATCGCCGCGCGATTATCGCGCGAGCAGTTCGACTGTTTCATCGTACGGTCATTGGTAGCAGCACGAACATGCCGCGGCAAATTAACACTACTGCCATTGAACTACGTCTGCAGTCATCGTGAGCACACTGGCGTGAAAGCATCCGCAGCTGCTGCTAAACCATCTATTTATAACGTATCGAAAATAATCGGTTTCTGTGATCATCCAGCCACTCGATGATCCTTTCTAGAAAGTGAGCAAGGTAGTTGCTGATAGATAGTGAATACCTGCTACAAGTGCGAAATGATGAATCTGGAAATGGATTGGTGGCCGATAATCGCGGCTGTGTTGGCCGTGCTAGCAGTGGTCTACTACCGAGCCACTCGTAACTTCGACTTTTTCAAAAAACGTGGGATTCCGTACGCCAAACCGATGCCGTTTTTGGGTAGCATGTGGGAACTGTTCTTTCAAAGACTGTCGACTGCCGAAGGCGTAGAAAAGGTGTACAATTTGGATCCCGAGTCAAAGTACGTCGGTTTCTTCGAGTTTGAAACGCCCATACTCGTGATTCGAGACCTCGATCTGATCAAATCCATCACCGTGAAGAATTTCGATCACTTTCCAAATCATAGAATGGCTTTCGAGCCGGACGTGGAGACTCTCTTCTCAAAGAACCTCTTTTCTCTGCGCGACGAAAGATGGAGGGAAATACGGAATTTGTTGACACCGGCCTTCACGTCTAGCAAGATGAAATCCATGTTCGTGTTGATGCGTAATTGTGCTCAAGAGTACGGCGATTATTTCGCTTCCTTGCCTGCCGATCAGTCGAAAGAGCTCGAATTGAAAAACGCGTTCACTAAGTACACCAACGACGTGATCGCCACTTGCGCGTTCGGCATTGACGTCAACTCGATGAAGGATCCGAAAAACACGTTCTATGTGTACGGCAGGGAGGCAACCAGCTTTGGAAGAGCGCAATCCCTCAGGTTTTTCGCGGTGAGAAAATTTCCGTGGTTATGTCGATTGCTCGGTATCAAGGTATTCAATCAGAAGATCGTCGACTTCTTCAATGAGTTGATAGCGAGGACGATAAAGGTCCGAGACGAGAACGGTATCGTTCGTCCAGACATGATTCAGCTGATGATGGAGACCAGAGGGAAATTGGGACCAGGCAAAGAGTTGACCATCGACGACATGACCGCCCAGGCATTTATTTTCTTCTTTGGTGGATTCGAGAGTACATCAGCTCTCATGTGTTTCGCCCCTTACGAGATCGGCATCAACGTACAGATACAGAAAAGATTGCAAGACGAGATCGACCAGGTATTGGAGGATTGCAACGGCCAGGTCACGTACGATGCTATCAACGACATGAAATATCTGGATGCTGTCATTCTCGAGAGTCTTCGGATGTACCCGCCGACGGTCATTAGCGACAGAGTGTGCGTGAAACCGTTCGAATTGCCGCCACGCGTGCCGGGAGCGAAGCCGTACGTCATGCAACCTAACGACAGCATGTGGATACCAATTTATGGCATACAACACGATCCGCAGTACTACCCGGAGCCGAAGAAATTCAATCCCGACAGATTCTACGACGATCCGAAACAGATGTCCAACTCTCCCTCGTTCCTCTCGTTTGGAATGGGCCCCAGAATGTGCATCGGCAACAGGTTCGCCCTATTAGAAGCGAAAGTTTTGCTTTTCTACGTTTTGGCCAAGTGCGACCTCGCACCATGCGCCAAATCTTCCATACCGTTGAAACTGGACAGGAAAGGGTTCACCATGGTGTCGGAGAACGGGTTCTGGCTGAAAATCCAACCGAGAAATGCAAAAAGAGCAGAGCCTGAGAAGATTGCCATCCCAGGGACGACCATGCTTATCGATAAGATTCGCGCCAGACATCCCGACAATTGAGTTACGCAATATCCGTTGCTGCAAGTTTCTTCTTTGTCTATGTTTCGTAGTAACATCGAAAGTGACCGGTTCGTTATAAATCTTTTTGAATTCGTTGTAGTGTGCTATAATGGGGTGTGATGGGATGTGTAATATGTTAGTTCCAATACAGGGATATTAATCAGGAAACGAGAATGTCTAAACTCCCTATATTTCTAATCCGTAACTTGTACGAATTACAAGTATGCGCAAGGATGGTCTCATGCTGGAAATATTTCAGACGTTTATTCAATTTCTTCAATTTATTCTAGAAGTTACGAATGATTATTTACGCATTCATGCTTTCAAAAACAAGGTGTTATTTATCTTTTTTGTTTTTTTTTTTTTATTTGTTGACCTCTCTTTGTTGCGCCAGAAAAATTGTTAATTCTCACGACTTCGAACGATATTATCGTTTTGTTAAATTTTTTAGTAGTTCCTACGATTTCGCAGAATCTGTGAGAAATAGCCAGGAATTTTGTGGCCAACAAGAAAAATATTTTCGTATTAAAATAAGATAATAATTTTCCATAGATTTATTTTTTTTACACGCTTTTACGAAGCTTTAATATACTCTTTGTTACGAGAAATATGTATATTCGTTAGATGTAAATGTATTATAATTAAATAAAATGACTATTCAAAATAAGTATTCTGACTCAGGGCTAAAATCAGAAAAATAATTGTTGATATG